GGCAGGGACACCGCAACAGCTTGCGCCAATTACTGCAGACCCAGAAAACCCACCCATCCCAACCCAGGGGAGGACATCCACCACACAGTAATCTCGTGCATGGGAAATTAACATCTCCTACCCCTAACTCTGCAGGAGATGCGGCCTACGGTTTATTCGTCCTTATCCGAGAAGACTAGAATATCTATCCATTTCTTGATATTATAGAAAGGTAGCAAATTCTTCTCAGTTATTTTAAGACCCTGAGTGTTGGTCCAGCTGGGCTTGAACCCTGGACCTCCCGCAAAACAGTCTGGCGTTTTGTTAATGTCGGGAGCTAGAGGCCATCTGGATTTAACTTGTACTGTATTCTATTGGTTAAGATTTCGAAAGCACCCAAGAGAAGTTGCCTTCACTGCTAATAAACTTGCCTGGTGCCCAGCCTTTAAAAAATAAACCCATTGTGCGATGTACTTCAGTCTCATAACTACTTACTTGGTCAAATAAAGAGGTGGGAGACGGTTTGTTGCCATAGGTGATGTCTCGTACAAGAATGCCAAGGTTGGGTCCACATATATTTCATCTTGTCCATCCCGGGGAGGGGTGGGTGGGGTCCAGATCTGCAAGAGAGAATTCATGGTGGACTCACTTACCCCTGATTGGTCATCATAGGAAATTGTTTTTGTATGTTACTTTATTGGAAGAACTCTTTCTACACTCTATGTAAACACTGTGTTTATAATGCAAAAGAAAATCCACACAGCAGAAAGCATTTAACCCTTTGACCCCAAAGAGTGACCAGCATCTAATTTCTCCTTACAATATCACCCATCAATCCCTTATTTAGGTCATGAGAACAAAGGAAATGATCACCAACTAAAGAAGCTCTGATTGTTGAACAAATTCTCCTCACCAGCTTCTTAGGAAATGACTTGAGAACAGTATGGAGAATATGCATACTGGTGTTCAGGTGTAACGGGATAATGGTGAATTTAATACTTCATAATCAAGCAGAAAGTATAAGTAAGAAATATGTTTATGCCACGAAAGGCTCCCTTCTCTGTGCATGCCATAGGCTGTGATCAGTTGCATAATCTCTGATTTTTGATGACATTTACAAAGTTGTACGAAAGTTGAGGCAATACAACTCCATCATGCTTACAATAGGTCATTTTACAGTTGTGTACTTTGTTGCCAAGCCTTTGATTCAGAGTGAGGCTGAAGGTGACCTTGTTGTGATAGAGACCTGTATCTACTTAGCATGATAACAAAGTGATTTACATTTGAAAGGCAGCAAGGTTTGTATCATAACAAGGTCACCCCTAGCCTCACTCCCATTCAAAGGCTTGGCAACCAAGCACACAACTGTAAAATGGACTATTATCTAACCACTTTCCTTACAGAGCTGTCTTTATCTGCTAAATGAGTGGTGCATACAAATTCTAAACGATTCAATACTTACTGGCATCTCTTCGCCAGTAGCATCATTTACATACACCTGATGAAAACAATGATAAGACCCCACTAATCAATCACTCTCCAACTGATACTAAACTCATCTAATATTATCACCAATTTGCCAATTATTAAAGAGTGGAGAATGCTAGCAATTGGATAAGTCTCTGTCAGGGCCCAGTTTTTCAAAGAGCAGCTAATGCTATCCAACAGATAAAACACTCTCCAGTGGATATGTGTTTAAAGATGTGCTACCCTCTCCACTGGATAGAGATTTCTCCAGTGGATAGTGCCATCCAACCTTTGAACAACTGGGGCCTGGTGGAGAACACATGATTAACTACACTGGGTAGCAAGTTATCCCTTGAATAGTGTTATATACCATTGAATAACTGGGCTCAGATTGATAACAACAAGTGGTCCAATTAAATTGCAGCAGCTCGATTCGTGTGTGCATACACAAGTGTGAAACAGAGGGAATTTCTCTCTATACAATATTCAAACTATCCCACTGAAAATGTTACAAAACTACTGATTCACAAGCCAGCTGTGGGTTCAAGAAGATAAGAAGCACTTGTGAACTTTGGGGAGTGCTCAAGAAGCTAGAGTTGCTCTTAGCTGTAACTCCACCAACTCTCATGTATGTTTGTCTTCAAAATTCCCACATGCTTCATATCTTGATAGATGCATGTTGAGGTATGAGCCCATTGTTACCCTTAGCAGAGTACATCAAATTGCTCTGGTCAATAAGCAAGTTGTTCTTAAAAGAAATTCTATAGTCTACACAACACCAAATCAAAAGACAGAGCAATTTGCAAAATTTCATGTGAAAAAGGACTGGTTCATTAAGGGTGCTGCTCCAAATAGGAGCACTCTTTAGGAATTTCTTCCCCTCCCCCCCCCTTGCACAAGGTCTCTGTTTCATCCTCCATGACATCACAGACACCTCTTCCACTTCTGAAGCTCAATTCCTCTTTGACAACCAAACAAAGGACAAGGACATTAACATCCACATACTGAAGCTGTAACTTTACCTCCAAACACTGTTCAAGATGTGTGAAAGAAAAGAAATGCTTTTGCTATTATATAGACATTAATGAAATACCATGTGGGGTTTTGCACACCATGATATCTTCCACACATCAAAAGAACACCCCTGTTATGGTTGCATAATAAATTGCGCCTTTCACAAATTGAAATGGTTTGGTTTGGTATTTCATTATTGATATAACAAATCAGATCCTTACATGAATGAGCAGGATACCAAATTTCTTTCATCCAGTTAAATCTTTCACTTGTTTTCTGCACTCACTTGGAGAAAAATTTCATATCTCCCCCTCCCCCCCCCCCCCAAACAAATGTAAAATCCTCTACCAACATAAAATAGGGAAAGGGAAGGAACAGAGGAGGGGGGGAGGGAGTTAAGGATAAGCCAGTAGCTCTGTGTGGCTGTTCAGCAGATTTGGTTCCAAAGTGCCTTGAAATGCCTGTCACTTTTCTACCTTCTCTTGATTGGATGGATGGCGTAAGGCTAGCATGCAGTAACAATGAACCGCAGAGTGCTACTCCTACAAGACCACAGAGATGTATTATTAGGCTTACTCTGGTGTCAACAAGTTTTGAGAGCCAGTGGAAAGAGTTCACATGACTCAATGTTGAAAAGTAATTTTAGACACACAGTTATAAGTCTGGTCGGTTAGGTGTTATAACTGTTGCTGTTACTGCAAACCAAAGAATCAAATGCCACATTAAAAAAAAAAAACAAAAAAATTCCATCAAAGCTACTTCACAAAAAACAGTTTCACCAAGGACAATGCAAAAAATGGTACAGCAGTTTATTTACATTCCCTCCAGAAAAAGCACAAAGTTTTGCACCATGAAAGAAAGTGGGGAAAGGTATGTTTTTACTAACAAACACTAACACAACTGCATTAAACAAAACTAGCAAACAAGCTAGCCAAAGCCCCATCAAAGAAGTAATGAAAAGGATTTGATGAAAATATGGACAAGATAAATTTCATCTTGGGAAGTCCAAGACAACTTTGAACACCAAAAATATAACACTGGCAATGCTAACACTGTACAGCCATCCAAAACCACTGGCGAACATTGAACTAACAAGCAAACTAGGGCTGGTTAATCCAAAAGTTTCAAAATATGATACAAATGCCAGCAATCAATCAAGAGAAGATACAAAAAAATGACAGACACCCTTAACATTCAAAGATATTTTTTTATTTGAAAGCTTTGACAGCACTTTTCTTCCACAAAAGTACCAAATCCATACAGTTCTCTTGTCAGGTACCTTCTTTTAAATTCAATAATTTTGGCAAATGCTCTCTATAAATAATTGCCTACAATAAATGCCTTGTAACCAATTTTCTCATAGATCTCTTTTACAGGGAATTCCTTAACAAGAAAGATGGAAAATTATGAACCACCCTTCCATAATTTTTAACCAGAAAACTGACAATTGAATAAGTATACCTTACCTTTAAGTAATTTCTTTTACATTTGGGAACAAATGGTCTGTGATTTTGTCAAGAACTAATTGGTTTCATTTTCACCAGCAGGGAGACTGCAAATTTCAAAGGGTTATTCTCACAGGACAATCTCCCATGTAACAAGCTAATTTCCTTTAACAGTCAATTTCTTCTTGCACTTTTTCTCGAGCTACTACAACTACTACTTCTACTGCTTGCTCTGGATGAAGTACGACTGGTACTGCGGCTGTTCCTGACAGCCACTTGAACCTCATCACTTTGGGCTTCTGATTTTAAGTTCTTTTTGGCTCGATTAGATGTTAGGGAATTTCTACTAGAGCACTTGCTATTTAGTTTTGATCTACGCGATTTTGACTTATTCTTTTTAACCTGCAAGGATTCCTCTCGTGTGTATGTGTACAAGATTTCATCCTCCTCTTCAGCAACTCTTTTTTCTTCTTCTTTCTTCAAAGCCTGCAGGTGGCCAAGCTCCCAGTCCTTCTTTGCCATTTCGACTTCATCCTGTGAATTGTAAGTTTAGACATGAAGAATACACAATCTTTTCCCACTAAACAACAATCCAAGCCTCAACCACTTCGTCCCTGTGTAACTAGAACAATTTTGGCCACTAGTTTTGCAGTGTCATGGGTTTCATTAAATGGGGGTTACTGTTGGTCTGCTATTGTCTAAAAGACCTTTTACCTCTGTCTGTTAATTAAGCTTGTGAGCAGGCTCTTCTTTTTGGGTTTAACCCTTTTGGACAAAACCACCCATGACACCATCCACAGCCACTTGTGGAAAAAGTTATGGAAACCCCTGGATGAAGCTCCCCAATTTTGTCACCCATGTTTGGTTGTAACATTTTTATATCTTATTGTTTATAGTTTGAAGTTCAAGTGAGATGCCTATGCTCCTTACCTTAGCTGCTTTGATTTGTTCCAGTGTGATGTAAGCACCAGACGATTCCAAGAATCGAATTGCGTATCTTTCCACAGCAGTCATCTTTGATAAGAATTCAAAAGAAAGTTAAAATAAGACATGTCTATTACAGCGAGGACTGTAAATTCTCCCATAAAATCCATGGAAAAATTTGCTTGCTTTGCACTTTTTCCTTTGTTCACTCCTTTTGTGAGCACAATTGTTCTCACCTGGCTCTCCAGAGCAGACAGTTCCTCCTCCACTTTAGATTGCTCTTCTTCCTAAAGAATTTAAAAACATTTGTAAATTTATTCTAATTTTACCTGTAATTAAATCCAGATACAATTAAATCCAGATACAGCCAACACAAGCAATGGACTGTTGCTGACAGGGTAAACCCTAAAAGGAGCAAAGTGCTCCAGTAACCACCTCCAGTAACTGCCTACCGGTTAGCTCAATCGATAGAGCGCTGGACTGTTGTGCAGGAGGTCGAGGGTTTGAGCCCCGGCCGGACCAACACTCAAGGTCTTAAAATAATTGAGAAGAATATGCTGCCTTTCTATAACGTCAAGAAATGGTTAGATATTCTAGTCTTCTTGGATAGGGACGAATAAATGGAGGTCCCGTCTCCTGCAGGGTTAGGGGCAGGAGACGTTAATTTCCCACGCACGAGATTACTGTGCGATGGATGTCCTCCCCTGGCTTGGGATGGGTGGGTTTACTGGGCCCGCAGTAATTGGCGCAAGCTGTTGCGGTGTCCCTGCCTGTCGGCAAAGCTACATAAATCAATCAAAACCAAAAGACTCTGACAAAGAGATCACACTTCAACTCGCACCTTCGCAAAAAATCACAAAAGCCAGTAATCTGCCCTCATCGCATTCAAAATGATACCCAAGTGTTATGCTTGCCTGCCAAAATGGCAGCACAACATTTCTAGAAGCAATTTCATCATCTCCCTTCCTCAGAGATTATAACTCTTTTTTGCCTGAATGCAATGTAGCCATTACTGCATGTTAGATGAGGGAATCAAAAGAAAATGACTCTTTCAGACTAACCTTTCCATCTTCACTCAGAGGGATTCCTTCATCAAATTCAGCCAATTCTGCTGCCTCTTCAGCCTTAGCTCTTGTAGCAGCACAAGCATCCTGTTCATCTTCAGCTTTGAATAATGCCTGAAAGAGGTGTTTTCAAAGGAACTTAACTTAAACTGCCTCTCTACGTGTAAACAAAGCAGGTGTAATTTACCTGCTCCAGCAAGCTCTGAGACACTTTTCCACCTCCTGTCTTCGTTCTACCAACTTCTGCAGTTGTCTCAGGCTCTTTTTGAGATTCTTCTGTCACAACTTCATCAATGGGCTCTGTCTTGGTAATGCTAGGCTGGGTGTTGACAGCTTCAGAAGATGGTTCAATGGTGAAGAGATCCTTTAGTGTAGTCTGCAAAGTGAAGAACAAAAAATTAAACATGAAACGCTGTTCAGATTGTGATACAACTCTACATAAATTTCAAGGTTTGTACAGATTTCAAACTTATAAGATGTCACGACTTTCCAGAAACTTTCATGACTTGTTATCCACATGGTCAAGATACTGTTTGCAATATGTTGCGAAAATAATCAATCCAGGTATTACATGTTCTGTTTTTTTGCATAAGTCACTCTCAGACATTTCCAATTATTTTTCATGACCAAAATACAAATTCTGTGACTTTCCAGGCCAGGAATATGATACCGCAACATTCCAAAACTTTTCAAGTTTTCTGTAAGATGGATAACTCCCTGAAGTGATCAACATGTGACTTCTCCCTATAATATCTACACATCATCAAGCAAACAGCTAATGAGAATACTCAAGCTTATCAGGTAGAGGTTGTTATCTTGATCTAACACAAATTATTGGAACTAATTCACTAGGAGATGTGTAGCAGTTGGAGGGGAGAATTAAAAATCACATCTTGGGAGTAAAAAGGGTTAAACCCTGCAGGTGGCTCTAGAACTTAGCAGCATATCACAACTACAAATTCTGTCTGTGTTGGCAATGTTTACCCTTAGTTTCTTACTTTCATACTTTCAAAGAAAATCCATTAAAACATCGTGTATTAGGCCCGGGATATTTGCCGATTTGAACAATGTTGTGGATGGTATAACAAAGTTACAAAATAATACAATGCCTTCAGGTGGCGTATTTCAACTAACCTCTTTGAAAAATGCTGTGGTAAAGTTTCCACCCTCAATAGCAATATCACCCAGCATTCTTTTCTGATTTGCTTTCTTCAGGATGTTCTCCTCAATTGTCCTCTCACTAATCAGTCTGTAGATGTGGACATCTCTGGTTTGACCAATGCGATGACATCTGTCTTGTGCTTGGGCATCCATTGTGGGATTCCAGTCACTGTCGTAAAAGATGACCGTGTCTGCGCCAGTGAGATTGACACCTAGTCCGCCACTGCGGGTGGACAGGATGAAGCAGAATATGCGAGTATCAGCATTGAAGCGCTCCATCAAGACCTGTCTTTGCTCCACTCTTGTTGTACCATCAAGCCTCAGGTAGATGTAACCATGGTAATTTAAAAAGCTCTCTAGAACATCCAGCATCTTAGTCATTTGGGTAAAGATCAGAGCTCTGCAAATATCAAGTGGAAGATTAACAAATTAATTGTAACTATCAGTATCAAGTTAACTATTTGACCATAGCTCAAATGTCAACTTATTTGCTTTGTAAAATATGAAGAATAAGTTAACATAATAAAGATCCACATCTAGACTTACAATAACAAAATATGTTACATCACAACTGACTGATTGGTTTTCACAAAGCTTTAGACTAAACTAGACATGTTGCCAAGGTTGATTTTAATTTTTTTTTTTACCTGTGCTTTCCAGCTTTTAGTCTTCTTAGAAGTAGATCAAGAGTTTGAAGCTTGCCTGCAGTAAAACAAACCACAATCACTGATCTTATGCACTAGCTAAAATCAATACAAAAAAATTCATGGTGCTGATACACAAGTACCACATTTTAAAACAGCCCTTGCATTAATGCTTTTGTTCAGCTCTAGGCATACGTTCTTACCACAATCATACTGAATAAGCCGCACTTCTGGAAACTGCATCTTCAAGCCTCTAGCAATTGGATGCATAAAAGATGTCTTGGGCATCAGTTCACCATGAAGTGTCTCCTCGAGGTTCTGCATCTTTGACAAGTAGGATGGCGGAGGATGGGACATATGTAGTTTGATGGGAGGAGCTTCCACAGATGGAATAGCAAACACAAACCTGACAAGAAACGATTAGTTCTTAACCATTTGACCCCTAAAAGTGACTAACACCTAATTTCTCCTTGCAATATCACCCCAGAAGTCAAACATTAAGGTCATGAGAATAAAGGAAATGATCACCAACTCAAGGTCATGATTGTAAACAAAAATTCTCCTTGTCAGCACCTTAAGAAAAGTATAGAGAACAGTATGGAGAATATGCATACTGATGTTAGTATAGAGACTATGTATCTTGTGTTGGGGTATAAGGGTTAATAATGGTTGAATAAACTATGACAGCATTTTGCCACATTTAATGCTGACAGCTCAGAACTTCTACATTTATCAGGGTCAATCAAAAACACGGACCTCGAAGTATAGAACTCATCACACGCTGTCCCTTCATCAAAAAGATTTTTTCTTGAATAACTCAAGTAATGGCTATGCACGCACAAATTTGTGTATTTCTCCTAAAATTAATGAAGCTGTCCAGGAGTCTCCTTGATTTCTTTAACTGCAATAGTCCATTTTACAGTTGTGTGCTTGGTTGCCAAGCCTTTGAATGGGAGTGAGGCTAGGGTTGACCTTGTTATGATACAAACCTTGCTGCCTTTCAAATGTAAATCACTTTGTTATTATGCTAAGTAGATACAGGTCTCTATCATGACAAGGTCACCTTCAGCCTCACTCTGAATCAAAGACTTGGCAACTAAGTACAACTGTAAAATGGCCTATTGCTATAAGTAAGGCAGATAATAAACTGCTCAAAAACACAATCAAAAAGTGAACAGAAAAAAGTCTTATTACAAAGTAATCTGGGTTATTTTTCAAGATATCTTTAATCCAATTCTGGTATCATAATATTGGTGAGCCAGAAAAATAAAAACACACATTAATTTTTTACCTGCTAAAAATATCCTTCATTTCTGTCACTCTGTCTTCTGGGGTCTTGAAAATACTTGTCAAATATTCAGAACATCTCACTGTACTCCACACATCCTTAACAACAGACACAGCCTGCACCAAATCCAGCCCATAGACTGGTTGTGCTTGAGAATGACGATTGTTGACTCGTAAAATGCGCACAAGCTTCTGCTTTCTTTCCTTGAGCCTCTTCTCTGAAAGATTCTCCTAGCAGAGCATATTCAACTAAGTTAATTCCAGTTCTGTCTTCTTATTTTCTCCAGTAAAACTATCCTATTGATCCTTGCCAGCTCAGAACTTCAAGTTTTATCACAGATTTACTCTCAACAACACGGACCTGAAGTTTCACTCATCACATGCTGACAAGAAACCCCTAGTCACTCCCCTTTTTTAACCCTAACACTGCTCCCAGGGAGGGACTAGCATCTATGTTCTCCTTACACTAGTGTATCTAAAAGATATAGTGATGCTGCAGCACGTTCTGTTGCTAGTGACATAATTTATACAGTGATTCATCTACCTGTGTGTTCCAAGAATTACATTGAAAAACCTTATAATATCACACCTGGGTCAAAGACTGCTAACTATCAACTTTAACAGTACCATAGGAAATTTACAGTTCAAAATGTTTGAAGAATATGCATACTAATGAGTGAGCCTGAAGGAAAACAAGAGACTGAGAGTCTTCAAGGTCTAAAACTGACAAAGATAACATTTTGACTTAACATTTACATTGCTATAAAGGCGATAACAAGTCAACAAAAACATTGACAAAGTCTGACTAAAATATTTGCAGGTAAATTCATATTTCTGAACCAGTGCCTTTCATGTCTTTTGTAGGGATGAATGACTACATGCAGCTTTGACATAGAAACATACCAAGAAAAATGGTGAATCTTTGTTGGCTTGGGTGACAGCACGAGCAGGAAGTGATGTTTTACTTTCCAAGGCAATTCGCTTGGTTGGAGACACTGGTTTTGATTCAGGATGGGGAAGTCTAATAGCTACACCATCTTGAACAGTTTGTCCTACTGGTGCTCGGTTTTGAGCTGCTGGAAAGCTTGCGCTACTTGGAACAGACTGATGCGACTCTACAGCAACACCAGTGGCAGAGGGAACAGAAGCTGACCAGGGCGACTGCCCAGCTGCCAAATGTTGACGCTGAGATTCATAGCCTGCTCCAGGTCCTGGATAGGGTGGAGGTGGGGGCATTTCCCTTCCAAATCCCGACAGAAGTATCCTGGATGCAGGAAAGCCGGTAGGAGCACCAGAACTGTGCCGTGTTGAGTAGCTGTGAGGCTGTTGCCCTTCAGGAGTTCCAGGCGGCATTCTTCCAGGTAATGATCCACCAAAACTTGGGCGTTGCGAATGGTCCTGAGACCACCCTGGAGGAATTCCATAAGGAATAGCACCAGGAGTGTATGTGGGGTGCACTCTGTGTTGTTGATGAGCAGAGTAAGGGGGAGGGGGTACATGTGGCATGTGTTGTCCACTTGGATGAATACTGTTGGATATATCTGTCTTGACACTGCCTAGGGGAGGCACAGGATGCCCAGAAAGTGAAATCCTGCGAGGTTTCACTGGAGGAACCAGCCTCCTGGTTGGTTCAGGGTAGGAGTCTATTTCTACAATCATTTTTGCAGGTGTCTGAAGAGTCTGTGAACGATAAGCTGCATAGCTCGTTACTGTCCTTTCTATGTCTGCTACACACAAGTTCAAGTAACCAAAGCTGACATGTTTAAGGGGGTTATAATCAAGAGCTCTAAGCACCAATGACGCAGTGTAAAACTCAATGCCCTCCATGTAGAATGGTGAAACTGTTGGTCTTGGTTCAAACAAGTCGGGATGATTACAAACCTGAAAGAGTATATATTTATTTATCTATTCTACAATAAGAACCAGTAAGTAGCAGGCATGCTCTTAGAAAGGGCATAAACTTCGTACAACTTTGTGTTTGCTTTTGATTATGCAGTTGGCTTGTCCTCGCGAGAGTAATCCTGAAAAGGACTTTAGTGGATGAAATTTGAAGTCATAATCAGAGTCAAGTGCCTCTGTGATTGTGTGACTTCCACACAGGTTGTCCATATGTCTGTCAGAGACAATGACAACAGTCTTTTAAAGACTACATATGAATAAAGGCTGATAGTTTCGAAAGAAACTATTTGGGGCTGCGTCGGTGGGAGTAACGAAATAATTTGGATATATCAACAAAGTTGAAATGGTAAATTGGCCACCGTAACGATTACAAAAGCTGACGTTTCGAGCGTTAGCCCTTCGTCGGAGCGAATAGAGGAATTGTGGGTTGTGTGTGCTTTTAAAGGCAGAAAATGGAGCTACATTATTGGTGGGAACATGGCAACGAGAAAAACAAGAACAAATTAGTGGAATGAAAAGCGTTCGTTGATCCCTGTGGGATTTAAACTGCCAGTTTGAAAGATGAGCTTTTGTTCAAGATTTTTACGGCTTTCCGTGCTACCTAAGTGTAAGGAAAGACTGCAGATTGCCATATGTTGCTTGGAATGATTAGGTAAATTAAAATGTTTAGTGACTTTTCACAGCCTCCGCTCATTTCATTCAAACGCGACAAAAACATAGGCAATTTTTTGGTCAGAAGTTCTTTTCAGACTAATGATCAACCAGGCACTTTTAAATGCGCTCGTGCACAATGCAAAACGTGTCCTTTTATTCACAACACTGATAAAATATCGGGACCTAAACGATCCATTAAGATCACCGATCACTTCACGTGCACCTCCGCCAATGTAATCTATTGCATAACTTGCATGTATTGCCAAAAGATATACATCGGTGAAACAGGTAGAAGACTAGGTGACCGATTCCGAGAACACCTTTGAGACGTGGAAAGGAATGACAAGGACACATCAAAACCAGTCGCTAGACATTTTAATTTACCTAATCATTCTAAGCAACATATGGCAATCTGCAGTCTTTCCTTACACTTGGGTAGCACGGAAAGCCGTAAAAATATTGATCAAAAGTTCATCTTTCAAACAGGCAGTCTAAATCCCACAGGGACCAATGAACGCTTTTCATTCCACTAATTTATTCTTGTTTTTCTTGTTGCCATGTTCCCACCAATAATGTAGCTCCATTTTCTGCCTCTAAAAGTACACACAGCCCACAATTCCTCTATTCGCTCCAACAAAGGGCTAATGCTCGAAACATCAGTTTTGTAATCGTTACGGTGGCCAATTTACCATTTCAACTTTGTTGATATATCCAAATTATTTAAAAACTACATACTCTACCCTCTATGATCAACTGTTAAAAAAAATGTATACACTAACTACTGATTTCATTGTTTTTTCCCCCCTCCCTGGACATTTTATGCTAAATAGTTTGTTACCTTTCTCAGCTGCATGAGAATGTTAATAACACTAAGAAAGTGGCCAGACTCTAAGGTTTCCTTTGTCCTGAAACAAATGTGAATAAAACAAATTTTACAATGATGCCCCTCTTACAAAATGATGTGTTGCAAATGCAATTATACTGATAGTATGTAACACTGTTGCTTCTGACAGGAACCATTAACACTTGAGAAGTAGACATTAATGGGTTTTATAGCAGCTTCTTCTCTTGGCCATGAATGACAAAACCAAACGGTTAGCAGTAAACCTTGGCTAAAGAGCAACTGGCCGTATAGAGATATTAAAACGACAACCAAAATAATTCTTCCACTCATAGGAAATACATGCAACAGTCCAACCCTTGCCACAATTGACCCTTGTAGGTAAACTGGAAGGAAAACCAATGTTAGGTCTGAGTTCAGGACTCCACAGCACTTCAACCCATGCCTCTCAGATGTTGAACACCAACACCCTTCACCCATTAACTCCCAAGAACTGACTGTAAATTCTACCCCCTTGCTGCTGCACATTTCCTTGGGAATGAGTATGAGAATTCCATGTTAGATCAACACAACTTATACCTGTTAAGTTTGAGTATTCTCATAACCAGTTTGCTGATAATGTATGGATAACATAGGGAGAAGTTATATGTCAATCACCTCTGGGAGTTAAAGGGTTAATGCCAGGTACAAGCCTAAAATCTTCTTTCAGTTACATTTTTTTTTAACTAAACTTCCAGTCACAATTCAAGAACTAAAGGATAACATAATCCTTCATTACCCAAAAGGTCTTGTAGGCAAATATATTTTTTTCTATTACATTGCAGAACTCACTTAGTCCTAGACATGAAGTCATCATAAAGGTAACGCTGTCTCTTAGACAAGCGGCATCGAATCAAGTGTTCATATTTCTTGGGCATCTGTGTTTCCACCTCCAGCTTAAGTCTTCTCAGCAGAAAGGGTCTCAGAACCTACAAATGTAAATGGAGAATCAATACATCTAGTCCACAGTTCTACAAAAACAAACCCACCCACAATGCAGGTTCTCCTGCAGTGTAGAGTATGTACCTCTCGACAGGAACCACTGAATGTTTGAGTAATACCTTCCAGTGGGTTTTATAAGAGTATCATGCTCTTGGCCAAGTGAAATTACCACATAGCAACCAAAGCTATGCAATATTGGATTGGATGGCCACTTACTAATAAAAAAATCAAATGGATCAGGCTTAATTGCAACAAACAACCTTTAATACTTACAAGTATATTCACCTAACACCTGTCTACAGTACTGCTTATGAGTAAGTCGACAGTCCTTTGATCCTCAGTCCTTGATCCTTAATTTTTGATCCTCAATTCTTAATACACAAATCTCATCTGTTGATTCTCAAAAGTTTTGAGGATGAAGAATCAAGTTTTGTGTTGAGACTGTCAGCTTACTCTTGAGTGGTACTGTACAACTTGATGCAACAGGCAACACTAAATCAAGACTGTAAACACAAGTGTTTTTTTGGCCATGGATAACAGCTGACAGGCCACTGTACAATACTTCTAATCAGTACATGCTACTGATCTTACAATAGCAAAGTCAAGCCTTGCATGGTAAAGGTAAATATCAATGTTTCTAACTGGTTACTGGTATTAATATCTGATAACTGTCCTTGGTTTCAAGGCATCTATGCTTGAGCTTGTTTATCAAAGTTCATAGACACCAGAAGTAATTGAATTCACACCAGGTCACTACCCATGGCTTCATGCACAATTGCATAAGCCTGCTAATAACAGTTTAGAAAAACCAACCTTATGAAGCCTTTTGATTAGTCCTTCATTGTACTCTCTGCTCCCTTCAATCATGCCAGACAGAGGATTGGAAAACCATTCTTTGAAATCCTTATGAGACTGGAAAACATGTGGCATAAGGAAGTGCATAAGTGACCATAACTCCATCAAACTGTTCTGCAGGGGAGTGCCTGTCAAAAGTAGTCTGCAGTGGCTATTGAAGTTGAGGAGATACTGCCACCTTTGGGACTTGAAGTTCTTGATGTTTTGGGCCTAAACCAGGATTACAATGAAGGTAATAAACTATCAGTTACTATAACAAACAGTGACTGTTTTGAGCCATGGAATAGCATTGGATAGTGTTGGATTGTGTAGTTTGATCCTCAGCTCTGATGACTTCTAAGATTGTTGAAAGGTCAGTCACTACATATNTTGCGCGATGCGAGAAAACCTGTTTAACCGGTACTACAATAGACGAGTACAAATACCGTGTGATATTTGTACTCGTCTATGGTGTTATTTGTACTCGTCTAGGTGTAGTTGGATAATAATATGGAAAACAGTCCTTCTTGGGTCTACTCTCAACCCAACAATCAGAATACATCATTAACTTTACAATGCTGTTTGGGTACAACAAACAACAATGACAGTCTTCCAGAGATAAAGGACAATTAAACTAAGGTTTACATCCTAATCACCTCGTCTAGAATGAAGTATTTCCACTTCTTCCTGCGGAAAGCCTGATGATCTTGAATGACCAGCTTGTAGGATGTGATACATACATGAAAAGCGTTCGGTTTAGTCCAACCCTGAAGAAATGAAAAATTTTCAAAACCTTACTTGTATGCAATAATAAATCACAAAAGAATTTAACAGAACATTAATTTAAGCACGGAGAACTCTGTCTCTACTACTCAGCCCTAGTGAATTTGGTCTATAGAACACAACCACCTCTGACAACTCAAAGTAGGGTGCTGTGTACAAAAATAATTAATTACCACAAAAGTAATTACTTTGTAAAAAAGGTTGTGCTTGTTCATCACGGTGAAGTACAATAATAACAAAGTATTATTGTTTTTCATGATGTGGTCACTTGTGATGTGAATCACAATGTTTCACCTGCATACTGAAAAGGAATGGTTATAAGATGTTGAAATACACACCTGTCTCTTAGCTTTCCTCTCTTTTTGATTGCCGTAGTAAGTCAAGATTTTGAACCCAGGACACCATTTCTTGAACTCCAATTCCCAGTTCAGCATTACAGAAGTGGGAACCACAACCAAGTGAGGACCCCAGACACATTTCTCACAAGCCATGTGAGCAAGCAGTGCAATTGTTTGAATAGTCTTTCCCAAACCCATCTCATCTGCGAGGATGCCATTCAGGTGCTTTTCATGCATTGTCACCAGCCAGTCAAGGCCGATCAGCTGATATTCTCTAAGAACACCTCGCAGGAGGAATGGCACTTTGGTCTTGATCTGGAACCAGAGGAAAGTCCCGCAAGCAATCAGCATAGGCAGGTTATTTACACAAAGTCAAGCTGTTGTTTTGCAAAACTGTGTAGCAACTTATCTTCAACTGCTTCAATGAAACATCTATTTTGTGACTAAGGGGCTTATAGCTACAACTAACCAGTCATATTTTTACTTCACACAACTGAGTCATAGACAAATCTTAAGACCACTGACTGTCTTAAAACTGCACCTGAAGAACGATTTATTCAAAATACTGCCCCTATGTTTCTTGGTCTTCATGTAACATTGAAGAGCTCATTCAACAACAGTTCGATGCTTACATCAGTTGTTTCTAAAGTGAATCCTCGAGGTTGTAAGCTCTGTGCTGTTGCTGCTGCATCTGTCAATTCTTGGTCTGGATCAGAATCTGCATTCTGTTGAATACAACGAAACAAATTCAGCAACTTGCATTTGCATGGTCGCTCAGATAGCAATAGTTGAGCTCCACATGCGAAGAGACCCTTTTGTAAAGAAAAGCATTCCTTTAAATATTGCTGCAAACCCCACATTTGAGGAAAAAACACACCTGTGATTCACTAGCTCCATCTTTCTCTTGTTGCACAAGGTATTCCATCCCCTCAGCAGCACTCAACTCTACAAAGCACAAAAATATCAACTATTTAGGGGCTGCACTGCTTGCAAATTTTACAAACACTTACACACACCTTCATAAGATGATTCTTGTGAACTCTCTTCTTCAGTCTGCAAATCTGTAGATTCATTGTCGGCAGCACTATACATCTTCATCAATTCCTCAATGGGCATGTCACCTGAGATGAGAAAATTTTCAGATATTCTTACATAGAGACAGCAGAAGTACATAGACAAAAGATTTAACCTGCCTTGAGTGATAATTTAAAACAGGGAAACATACAAATTAAAGTCCCTAGGACCACATGTGACAAGTATGGCATTAATTTTAGGTCAGTCCAACCCTTTTTTTCCAGCTTCGCTCACAGTTTCACGAATTAATAACACTAATCACTCTTTTTTTCTCCTTTTAAAAGTTGTTTTCACATAGTTATTTCCACTTAATGGAAACTTTCTCTGGGTGTAAAGTCAAAGGATTGGGTACAATGATTAACACCTCCTCTTCCGATTTTGTTGTCAATTTTAAGCTATGTTGACGTCATGTAGCTACCGACAGGAACCACTAACACGTGAGTTAAAAATGCCAATGGGTTTTATAGCAGCATTTAATTTTGGCCATTATAAGCAAAACCTAAGGTGAAGAAAAAACCTCAGGAAACAAGCAAATGGCCATTTAAAAAATTGTAAACATTTCACGTGGAAAAAAAAAAAAATGAAAATGACACCCTGAAAAGAATTTCAACTCACAAAAGCTTAAAATATTTGGCAGTAATTCAAAACCGTGCTCTCACTGAGACTGAAGATCAACAAGTGAAAAACTTTTGTCTTCAGCCACTACTATAGCTTTTAATTCCCAGAAGTGGTTAAAATGTGACTTCTCCTTAATATCTATACATCATCCAGCAAATAGGTAATGAGAATACTCAAACTTCTCAAATGTAGGTTGTTAACTTGATCTAACACCAAATTCTGGTCACTAGCTTCCAAGGAAATAATTATATTGTAGCTACAGGGGAGAATTAACAATCAGATCTTAGAGCCCTGCACCTAGGATTTCTGGGATCTATATCAGTATCTGAGCAACTGCACACCCACCCCTCCCTTAGCCCAACAACAGTCAGCTGATAACAAGTTAGGATCAATGTTGGGTTAGGGGAGGGGTAAGTGCACAGTTACTTAGATACCGACATTAATACAATTGTCAAAGTATAGTGTGATCATCTGGGTGAGTGTAGTCCTGAGAAGGACTGCTGTCGGTGGTAGTGACTGACGTTTTGACAACCTGTGCGGACGTCACTTGACTCTGATGATGACTTCTGCGCATGTTGTCGAAACGTCAGTCACTACCACCGACAACAGTCCTTCTCAGGACTACACTCACCTGGACAATCACATTATACTTTCACCTGTTACCCCCGGGTTCAAGCCATTTACTGCACAAACACAATTCCTGCAACACAAGCCTTCAGAAACCTGTGTTTCTTCTCAGACCTAGGGAACATATGTATGTTTTGATAAGCTCCTGACAGTTTAGGATACCTTCCTTCTGGAGATTATCAATTTCACTTTTGTGATCATCTCCTTCTTCCAGCTGTTCTTCTTCTTCTAATGTTTGTTCATCATCATCTTCTGTGCCTCCTTCTGTCATCACAAAGTCTTCGTCAGCTTCAGCAACTTCTACACTTCCACTGGCTTTCCTGTTATGGTTTCAAATTGAATCATGTCAAAACAGAGTTGGAAGAATCTTTATGAACACAACTTCCAATCCATTGACAGTACATTACTTTATATCTAGGTTGAATACAAATTTGAAGAAACTAAATTAGAACTAGGGTGTCTGAGAGTGTAGGGGGGAATCAATGAAAAGGATCTATTTTAACGCTAATCAATAAAACAAGAGAAAGTTTCTGGAAAAAATTGTGTCAGGAGGGGTTTTATTTGGTTTATCAACTGAGCTGATAATGTAAATTGGCCACTATAAAAAGTTTATAAAGCTGATGTTTCAAGTATCAGCCCTTTGTTGGAGGTAGAATGGCTGATACTTGAAATATCAGCCAATTTACATCACCTCTGTTGATAAACTAAACCAAATTATATGAAGCTACTCAATGTCCTCTGTGCTCCTCTTTGGTGGTTACACATTATCACAAGCATGTTTACTGCTACAAATTCATCTTAACAAATGAAACACTACTGGATGTACCAATATGTCAGAGAAGACAACTTAACGCAGTGTATGGCAAGTTAGTATTAATTGCAGACTGAAAGTTTTACTTGATCTTTGTTGTATTCTGGTTTTCTAAAGATTCTTCCTCTTCATCATTGTTCCCTTCAACATCCACTTCTACATCACTATCATCACTTTCTTTGCTGAAATTTCAAAAGAGGAATGTCACTGCAAGAGTACTTTTTGATTGAATGAGTGGCCTGATCCTGAAAAGAACTTTTGTTGCTAGTAGTGATTGAAGTGTTGACAACTTAGTATAACACTTCACAAAAGTCAAATTAGTCTTGAGGTTACATATCCAAGAGTTTACGTTAGACTGTGGGAGCCATATTGGCATATGTGGACAAGGCTGTTTCATTTACCTCTTAAAAAAAAATCTTCAATGGGAAAGGACAAAAAAATAACACTTTTTGAAAAGTCAATTGTGCCTGTTTGTCCTTTTCATTGAATCTCATCTATGAGTTACTTTTTACCTTGACCCCTCACTTTCATCCTCAGCTGATGAATCTCCACTTTCTTCATTTTCATCACTTCTCTCTTCTAGCATCTCTGGTGGCAGGCTCTCCAGAAGTTTCTCCAAGGGAATCTCACTTTCTTGTTTTAACAAGTTAAGCTCGTTTTCTCTGGAGGTGGATTCTTCATGAGCCTCTTCAATGTCAATTGTTTCTTCATCATCAGCTTCCTCAGTAGGTTCAAATTCACTATCACCACCTACTTCAGGTTTGGATGAGACTGGAGAAGAAGGACCAGTGGACCCTACAGAGGCAGGACCACTGGATGGTGGAACAGCAAGACTTTCTGCTAACCAAGAAGAATATTTCTCCGTCTGATCTACGATGAAGTTAAGCTGCAGGTCAAGAGCTTTCTTTCTGTTTTCCTCCAATCTGCTCTGAACCTTGTACTGAACAACCTAAAAGATCAAAATTCTGGGAATAAGAAAACTATTTGCTTGCCCTTTGTAATGTAAGTTGATGTTGACATAAAGGCTATAAGCAGGCTCTATGGATGTAGCACACAGTAAAAAATGTGTTTCATTTCATGGTAAATTGAAAACACACAGATTGTTGAAGAGAAGTTTGCTCAAACCTGGAGAACCTTTAACATAAATTACTTTGTTACAAATGAATTAAACAAAAAAAACCTTTTCGACTGAACCCCAGAATTGTTTGATTTCCTTGGCAATGCTTGCTGCAATCTTTCGAAGACGAACAGATTCCTCCTTTTCCGCTTTCACTTCTTTGCTTCTCTGCTCTTGGTGGTATTTGAGGACTGCTCTCGAGAGCTGGAAGAAGAGGTGTTTATTAAAGTTGCACTGGATAATGATTTGTCTGAAAACCACCAACCAGCTGAAGTCCCACCCCAGATTTTCATGCTCAAATCCAGAGGGTAAAATCTCTGCTAGGATATGATAGAACTAAACAAGGTCTGACAAATAGATTCTCTCATTACCAACAAGAAAGTTGCTTAATATTATAGGTTAATTTGTCAATCAAGGTACATCCTAAAGTAAAGTAACACTGCTGGTTTGATTTTCATCTGGATTGACCTTTCCCACTGATATACACATTAATTGGTAATATGAAAGTGAGAGGCTAAGGACTGCAAACAAGACTTCTAATAAGAAATGTCTGTGCAAGGAACATACATAAAAGCTACTGTAAAAGTACAAATTTCAAGACAACAAAAACTCCTTAATTTTTATATTAAATGGGACTATTGAAGATCACAGTCTTGATAAGCATACCTTCTTGCAAATGCCTCTCTTCCATCTTCTTTCTTGTGCAAAATCAGTTGCTAGCCACTGCATTTCCTCCAGGAGATAATCCCAATGTGCTTTGCACCGCGTCATTTCCTGGACTTTAGGAAGGCGAGATAAAGCCCAGAGACCTTCCTTACGAAGTTCAGAAACTCTCTTGAGCACCTCAGCTTCCTTCTTAGCTACGACTGCAATATCCTCTTGAGAGCTAAATGAATGCTGCTCAAGTACAGATGTCAATGACTGACTTCTTGTGTTCAAAGTTGATTTTGCTCCATGAGGAAAAGAAGTAGGTCCGTTAGGAATTGTTGGGTTAGATACTCCTGCAAGTGGCACATTTAACCCTGGTGTGTGATTAGGTGTTGGTGCAACATTAGTAGATTCACTTCCAAAATGATTGCTGCTATGACCCGGTGTAGCATGCGGTTCTAATGGGGGATTTGGTAAAGAAAGTGATCGTGAAAATGGTGGAACTGAACTGCCCATGGTCGGCCTAGCAATAGATTGGTTTCCAGTAAAAGGAGAAACATTGGGTGCAATTCCTTCAGTAACTGAAAGCTGTGATTTGAAACTGGGATTTCCACTAAAATTACCGGGAACTGCTTTTCGTGGATCAAGACCAGCTTGCTCATAAACCTGTCTCTGCAGTGAGGAATAGTTGGTTGCACCAGGATTAGTAGAATCAGATTGTTGTTGTGGCCACATGAATAGTCTCGACGGTGACACTGTCATTGTTGATGGTGTAGGATTTGTAGCAGATGCATCATCCAAGCGATGTGAATTCAAAAATGCAAGAAACTGTTGATCTGGTCTTTTCTTCCACTGTAAGAAATCCATCATATGTCCTCCAGATTGAAGAAAATAGAGCTCTTGGAGCTTCTCACGATAGTTAGCTTTTAATGTTTCAAGTTCCCCATTGTAATAATTAACAACAAACTTGCGTAAATTTGTTATTTCTGGAAAGTCCCCTGATGGCACAGTAGATTTCTCTCCTACTCTGCTCAGAACTCCATGAGATCTACTAACATTCAGAGCATTATGAGGATTCATTGAACCCTGGGGACTTGCTATAGACTGATTTCGAGATGTGGCTGCACTGGGTGATAACTGATTTGGAAATGCTGTTGGACTCTGAAGGGGTGGGGTTCTGCGAGGGGTATTATATCCAAGATGATGGATGGTTCCACCAGGAGAATGTCCACCTCCACTATAAACAAATTGCTGTTCTCTCGGGCTTGCAAATTCTGGAAATTTAGGTTCAGAAGAATATGGTATTGGAAAGTTTGGATCTGCAGGACTTAACTGTGATGCATCAGCTGAGCCAGGATAAAAGTCAGGAGTTTTTAATGCCGCACCTCGTGGGCTTACTGAACCTGGTCCATGAGAAAGGGTGTATGTAACACTGCTGGGTGTCGCACAGGAAGGTGTAGAGGGTGGCGCTGAAGGAGAAGGTGCTGGAGATACATACATAGGAGATGAAGACTGGTAATGTGAAGGCGAAACTACTGAATGAGGAAATGGAGATCTTGGAGAGAGTTCTCCTGTTGATCCTACAGGTTGACTAAAACTTCTCTGGAAATGGTGAGGGTAATTTCGATGAGGACTAACAGGTTGAGTGGAGCGCGTTGGACTGGGAGCTGTTCCGCCTCCATGAGGTCCCATATAGTGGAATGACCTTTCCGAATATGGTGAGGTTGGTACATTTTCTGTCACGTTGCTGTGAAGTCTTTCCGAGTCGTGAGAGGGTGTCCTGCGAGCTTTTCTGCGAGGAGTTTCATCGTGATATTGCGATGATTCGCTCGTTCGTCGCATCATTTTAACTCCGTGAAGTGCTTGTTTGACATAATATTCCTATTCCTTGAGAGAGGTGCCGAAAAGATCCTGCAAGAGGAAATGCGATTTTCTGTCAATTTCATACGAGGTAGAGCATGCGCGATTCTGCCGCCATATTGTTTTCTGTAACCGACAACGGCTTTTGCTTCATTTACAAAATTAGTGAACTTAACTAAGCCATCCACTTAAAAGTTACTTACACCTTCCTCCATCATATTTCTTTTGATAATTTCATGTGGTTTTGGAGGCGTATTTTGACCTTTTTCGTTTCAAAAATTTCGGAAATTACCCTCACAAGTCTCATAAAATTTTCCTTGCAACGACAGCCTTGATATGCGCTTAAGCATCACACCACTCTACTGCATTATGGGTGCATCATCATAAAGGAGGCTCGGTGCCAAGGCAATTACGCGCCGAAAAATGTCACTAATACGGAATAAATTTAGCAACGGCGAAATATCTGATATAGTCTTTGATTTCATGCATCGAAATCACAAAGAGATCTGACAATAAAATTTCAAATTCTAGCCATGTTTCCGCGTAAAATTACGTAACATTGCTTTTTACACGTAAACTGAAGAGCGGTCATAACACCAAAGTGAGGCTGCCTCTCAGTGGCGCGAAGGACGAATAATTTACAAACATGGCAGGCTAAATTCACGAAAATTTAGCGATAATGAGGCGTTCTGCAGCGCCTTCAGTGAGAGCTGCAAAGAAAATGAAGTTCTATCCGCCATTTCTTTCCCTAGGCCAGGAAACTACTTCGGTTTTGCAGCAATCAAACAAAAACCAGGTGAGCTCAGTGGCAACATGCCTAACTGTACGTAATTAAATTTTTTCACTTTATGATAACTCTTTCATAGCCCAGAGAGGGAGTTGACTCAAAAGCTCGAACGGAAACATGTTATTTCTTTTTGGTTGTATTCTAGGTCAAAATTCCAGAGATCGGAGCTGATATTTCTAAATCTGACGTAGAGACTGCCAGCACGAGTACCTTCATACAAAGGTACCCTGAAAATGTTACAGTCCCGGAAAGGAAAGAAGTGAAATCTGAAGATGAAATAAAAGACTCCACCTCCACAGATCCTTCATACCCTTCACTGAGCAGTAAAATAACACCTTTCAAACCTCCTCAGAGGTCGTCCAAAACAACTTCTAGTTTGGGTAAGTTTTAGAACTAATTGATTTTTCATCATCAACTAAAAGAGAAAATGTTTCACTTTTACGTCTTTCTTTTCTTTTCTTTTCATTTTTAGTGACATCCAAGGAAAAAGAGAATATTTTTCAATGCTTCAGCGTTGTTTGGTTAGTTACAGATACAATTTATCAACATCTGAGTTAGTTTATTTTGCAGTACAACATTCATGATATTATGCATATATTAAGTTTTTATTTGAGAAGCACTCCTTCATTCATTGAACTAAAATTTGTCTTATCATTTTAGGGGAAAGATGTCCAAGAAGAAGGTACCATGACAACTCCTGACAACTTTGATTTTGGTTATGTTCATTTTGCTATTTGATACTCTATTTTCTCTCATTAACTCTTATTATATGTTTTGATTATTTTTAGCACAAAAAGTGGGATGGAGATGGTAAGAAAAGAGAACATTTTCCATTTTTTTTTTAATTCCAGGTTGACTCTCTGGCAAACTGAAGAACAATAAATATTCGGAGGAAGTAGTAATTTTAAAGATGTTAAATTCACTTATGAGTCAGAGTGGAATTTTCTAATGTTGCTACTAGTAAACTCACATTAGACAATGAGATACAATCAAATTTTTCAATGTTCCTACAGTTGAATATTTGGGAAGGAAATTTTGACTGTACAAGTTGTAGGAATGATTTCCATGACTATTATTTTTTTTCGGATTTTAGGTATACTGGTTACAAGAGGACGGACTGCCTCGTTAAAAGACCTGGAAGGAAAAGAGTAAGTAGACAGTGGGAAATGCAAGAACACTTGAAATTTCTTATACTGAGAAGTAACACTTAAATTTCTAGGACAGCAGTTTTGAGGTGTCAATAACAAAACAGTCTCACCCAAGTCCCTGACTGATCAAGGAACAAAATTTGTTTTCCTCAGGATTGCAAAGAGCGCTGGGTACAAGTCGTCAGAGCTGGAGTCTCTGCAAGAAGGAAACACATTGTGTATTGGTGGAAAAGAAATAGAGGTAATCTTGATTAGTGTCAGGGTTGAGTGGCCCACCTTTGCTAATACTTATCCACTGAGTATGATACTGATTATTACATTGCTGGCAGTGCTTGTGGGCAACATGAAGCAAATCCTGTGTTCTTATTGACTACCCAAGCAGGCAGGATGGGCCTATCTTGACAGCTCAGGATTGCCAACTTTGATCTCATACATGAAAAAAAAAATTGAATTTAGTGACAAATTCATAATTCTTGGACAATGTCGGTGATGGAGACTGATGCCAAAAGTGACAGAAGACATTCAGAAAAAAGAAACAACCCTCACGCAGTGCTCCTCACTGCGAAGATCGTTCTCATGTGCGTCTCACGAATGTATTGTCCTACAAACACAGTTGACTTTCTTCCCTGGCTCACTTATTAATGACCATTATAAGTCAAACATACAACACAAAGTTAATCTGGACATACAAATTAAATTGACATACTTCTTGTTGATTTGATTTTGTGGATTTGTTCAGTGTCCTTGCAAATGTTGACATATTTCTGGTTTTGCTTCTTTCTGCCCTGAGAAAGGTAACAACCAGAAATATGAATGTGTTTGCAAGCCATCTTATATGTTGTCAACTGTAGTTTTCACTTTTATTTTGGGCCAAAGCTGATTTCTGATCAATTGGGAGTGTTTCATTTGCACTCATGTACTTTGCCATTGACCGCTGGTGTCCTGCTTAACCCATGACCATATAATGACCATTCTTTTCAGGTGATGAGTCTTATAAAAGCTGAGGATTACTTAAGTGGACAGTGCTTTCAACAGTCAGTAGTGACTTCATTTCCAACAAAACCACTCTCTAGGCTGCCTCCTAAAAAGACAGGTATGAAATACTCAACCCAGTCAAGTTAACTGAGTTTGCAGTATTTTTCAGTGGGATCACAAAGCAACAACACTCATTATTTTGATGTATTTATGTATTTGATGGCTTACAGCTCAAACAGTGCTATGAGTAAGGTTGCTCATTAAGCTTTACACATTCTCTCTCAGTTGGCACTGATAAGGTGTCAGTGAAGTTGTACATTGAAGAAACTATGAAAAGTTTAGCTCAGACAGCAATATTTGAATATCTGTCCCTGTAAGTGCTATAATCCCACTCTGCTATCAAAAAAAAAAAAAAAAAAAAAGAAGAGAGACAAATGTTTGTCTTCTTAGCAGGGTAAGGGTCTGGGAGGTATTGAAAAGCAGTGAAAACGCTGGGAACCAGCAGACATTGCGTTTAAGTTTGAAAAGAAAGCTCTCAACGAGGAGAAAATCTCTTGGAAGAACCACCGCAGTTTGCAATCAGTCCCTTTCATCTCCCGAAATTGCCAGGGGAGGGATTGAAAATGGTTAAGCAAAGGTACAAGCAAACTTTTTGCCTAACCATCGTTTCGAACTGAAATGACTTCTTTTTGCGAACAATCTCAGTTAGAAAGAACCAGAAGCGGAAGTTACGGCGGTGACCGTGGGGAGATTCAGATCTCCACCTCCCCTCCTTTCTGACAACAATGATTTTGTAATAAATTCTCCTTTGATACTCTGAAGATTACATTTCTTTTAGTTTTTAACTCGTCTTCGTTACACAACCTCCAGCCCACCATTTTTAAAACGGCTGAAAACGCAACTTTGATTTCACTTTTGAGTCGTCATCTGCCAACCGGATTATCTGATATTAGTATCATTTCAGAGCTGAGCAAAGAGTTTCAAGCAATCTGATTGGTCGAGCGGTTCCTTTATGATGCTATATAAACCGCTCCACGCGGTTTATCTAAAATGTTAAAATAAAATGTTAATAATTGTTACTAAAATGTTATGATTTTAGAAATTTCTCTGTTGTTCAGCACTGAAATTATACTAAAACAATTATTCGCCTCAGGTTCGGTGAATATTGTCGAATAATCCCCTCGACTTCTTCTCGGGGATTATTCGACGATATTCACCTCGCCTCCGGCGAATAATTGTTAATTATAGGGGAGAATAAACTTGCGCGGAGAATACCGATGTTGAAGTAAAGAAATGATCCGACCCGGTGCTCTGCAATTAAAGACATTGTAGATGAGAAGTGCGAAAAATTTTGACTTCGATCCTGTGTCTTCCAGATGCCAGCCAACTTCACCAACAACTGCGAAGCTGCATGTAGGGAGCCTGGCAAACGTCCCAGAAATTTTATTATAATTACTTTAACAACGTAGGGAAAAAGTACCACGTAAAAGTTATTTTCAAAAGCTTTCCTTTGACTAGTCAGAGAAGACAACCTCACAAAAAGTAGGATTCGTGGAAAAATGTTCGCACACTTCAAAACACTTATTAACCCACAACACTGATGCTAAGAAGCTTAAGTTACTCGAGATGTAGGAAATTTAATATCGCGTTACCAAGCTACACTGATCACCCGTAATTTATTTATCATTTGCAGTCTGAAAGAGATACTCCTTCAAAGATATGCAAGGTCTTTTGAGGTCATTTGCGTTGTAAATTAACTGATAAAGAGTTCGAATGGTAACGATTAATTTCTCACAAATTCAGTTAACCCAAACATCATTCTCCCCCACTCCTTGAAAATGACCTTTTTTTGTAAAGAAACAAAAGTGTCCTTGCAATATTCAGTAAAGTCGCATCTTCTGCATAGTCTCGCCCAGACTTGTCGACTGAAGAATTTCCTCTAAATCCTTCTGATTTTTCTTGTCAACCTGTTTCCTTTTTGCTATCCAGTCATCTTTGGCTGCGAAACCTCGGTCGATCATCAATAGCTGCAGCCAGTCGTAATCTGACAGAGCCTTTAGTTGAACTCCTTTCTCCACCAACTTTCTCAAACCGATGGCATTATCCTCTGCGACCTTCTGCACGCGGACGTGAATATTATGTAGATGGGCGAAGCGAATCGACACGCTTACACTCTCGTTTTGCGCGAGCCACTCGCAGATCTTCTCCGAGCATTCTCCGCACGGCGAAAAATTGCTAAGAAGCTGGAAATCGTGTAGGAAGCCCGTTAATGGATGTTCTTCGAGTTGCACAATCGACTGCTTGAACGCGTGGATCGATCCGCTCCTGTAAACCTTTCGTGACAAGATCTTTCCATCTCTTCCTCTAGCTACGGCAAGCACGACAGCCTCTGACGGCCAAAAACCGCCTGGCACGCCAGACTTAAGAACAGCTGTCAAGTCGAAGTCTTCTGGAGTGGGGCTCTGAGGTACTGTTGCGGAATTAGCCGCCATGCTGACAAAAGTGAAAGTTAAATTATAAGTTCAAATTGATTTGTAATTCCGGTTGGTTAAATTCTCGAGACTGGTAATTTTATATGACGCTGCCTATCACTTGACATGACAGTAGGCCTCTTAGGTCAGTAAACAGTCGTTATTTTAAGTATCTCCAGTTTTCATTTAAAAAGACGAGTTACTGTAGTGTAATTCCCAGGTATGTTCTGGTATCGATCTGGGGAGCTTATGTTGCCCCCAGTGACTCAAGTTACGGTGGACGAAAACTTCATCAGAGATAGATCGGTGAACACTAATAAGGAAGTGAAAGAAATCTTTTGACGCTGAAAAATCAGTCATGCCATCCAAACGTAACAAAACATTTGTACGATGAGCGGAATGTTTTTATGAGACTGAAAAATTACAACAATGAAAAAATATATTAAACTCTTTGTCAACACTTTTCTGCAGATTTTGAATTATTTTTTTTCCGTAGGCTTATTGACTCTGAAGTGAAACTTCAAGTTCATATTTGTGCACACTAACTTGTGTTTACTTTGGCTGCGTTTTTTATTCGTCATAAGACGCCTCATTTTGCTTTAAATTGAGCGTCAAAAAGAGTTAAGAGTTTTTTTGCGTCTGGTTTTCTTCGTGCACAGTGTCCCGTTTACATACGCGTTCTAACTTTTTCTCAAGGCCCGACCAAACGCACGAAACATTTCAACGTAACATCTTGTACCATGGTTAGTTCATGTTGTGGGATAATGTGAAGGAAGCAGAGCTAATAATAAAGGGAAGCTCAGAAGCTAGGCCGGGTCTTAAAAAGTTAATTACCGTTTGACCAAACGTGTATTTGTGCCATAAACAATCCGATTGCTTATGAAAGTCGCGCAGTCAAACATATAGTGAACAATCAGGAGGGCATGTTGTATTTCATCCAAGCAGAAGGAAAACCAAAACTGATCGTGATTTGACCCATGAGAGTTTTTCCCGCGCCTGGCCTTAACTGGTTGCACTGATGTTTTCCCGGGGCCCCCCCCCCCCCCTACATAAGCCCTCAACGCAACACCCCCCACACAAACGGCCCCATCCCTCACAAACTGCGCCCCCCTCCCTCACAAGCTGCTCCCACCGCATAAGCTGCATATTTTCGCGCGGTTACCGCGGCCAAATTCCTCTTAGTAACCCGGTCCTGGTTTCGGTTAGATCCTTTTTCGTCTAGTTATAATCAATTTAATCCGTTCTTGTGTTTGTAGTTTAAGTTGCCCACGCACAAAGTAGAAACAACACAAAAATTACAAAATTCTTTGCCACAATTATTACCACACTTTTCTTATTATTATTTTATTTTCAAGGCTTTATCAAGCCCTTTTCTTCCAACGTGGAAAGAGATATAATAACAGATGCCCGACAAATGGTGACGCCTCGGCATGACGTCAACGCTCCTGGGGCCCTGGTAATGCCTCGACCCAGTGCTACTCATCAGGTAACTGTCAAACATTGGGATAAATCTTGCACTATGATTGGTCGTTTTTAAGAGTGTTTGACGTTTCGAAAACTGAGCGGAAGTTGTGAACAGGTTGAAGTGCAAGGGAAATTTTCAAGTGAATGTTTAGTGTGGCTCTTTGAAACTGTTTGTGCAGATTTTTTGTGATATTATTGGCTGCAGGACTCAAGAAGCGTTTTTCAGTCTCGATGAAGCTGTAAAGAGAAGTTGTACAGTATAGTTTGTTAGTTTTGTTCATACGAACATGTTGTTTGTTAGCTGCAAGTAGTGGATGAAAGCTTGCTGTCTCTATCCCATACTCGTTTTGGTCGTTACTTTACCAATCCAATGTGCTACTTCCATGATATAGTCTCCCTCGCAGCCGTTTTTTAGGATGTAGCGCAATGCTCCCCCAAAAGCTTTTATTTATTTTTTCATAGTTGGAGCACAATCGAGAGGGGCTGGATATCACAGACGTGGTAGTGGACCCACATTTGTCCGGTCAATTAAGGCCCCATCAGAGAGACGGTGTGGTGTTCCTCTATGAGTGTATCATGGGCTTGAGAAAATTAAACGGGAATGGAGCCATCCTTGCGTGAGTAGTAAAAAAGGAAGGGATTTTCCAAACCTAGAACAGATTGCAATAAGCCTTCAGGACAGATTGAATTACAATAATCCATGATGAAGAGACCTATCGCACGGCTATGACTTGCAATCTTAGTTATCAACAACACTCTATTTAACACTTCCGATAATTAGTTTTGTAAGGCAGATAGCGCGCGCAAAAACTTGGACGATTAGGTGTCACGTGTTAACTTTTGGAGAATATTTTACGCTCTTTCTGCTTCTTTTGTTTTAGTGCAGACTCATCACCATCCCTATCTGTCTTTTGTCACGGTAACTGATTACCGGCAGAAAGATAATAACCTCGCTATTTCCACGAAACACAATTTATTTAACTGTAAACAACGGGAAATAACTTAACACGAGCTAGCGACTACTCATGGAACAATCCAACTAAAATTAACTATGCACTTCTCTACGCTTATCTGACCACAAGCAAAGTACTGTCCTTCTCTTTGGCGAAATCTCCTAAGACTTCCTTCGCGGTATCGCACTCCACGGTAAACAACTCTGGACTTGACAGCAGAATGTCAGTCTCACATCCGAAGGGGAAAAACCCTTCACTTGTCACTTTTCACACAATATCACTTAGAGATCACATACAGGGAACGAAGTCCCAAATCACCACAACAACCTGACTAGCGAGCTGCTTATATAAGCATCCGAAGAGAGTCTAGAAGTTTCCAAAAGTAACTATAACCATTACAATAGTAACTATTTATAACTATTACAATAAACTCTATTTTTAAACTGATGAGTCGCAGTTCTAGAAAATTCTTGAAACAACATGACATTGACTTTCGCGAACTTTCCAGACAATTCCGATCCTTGTAACACTTTTCTTTCGTATTTAGAGACGATATGGGACTTGGGAAAACGCTGCAATGTATTTCTTTGATATGGTAAGACAATTTCCTTCATTACTTATACATGGAAATGCAACCGAAATGCTCCTTTTAATGCGCATATGCTATAAACAACCAACCAGCTTGTAGTTTATCGTGAAAGTGAGCCTTTCTTTCACATGTGTAGCATTCAGACAAAGGGGAACAGATTAACAAAGATCATTCTTACCTCGCGTGAAACTGAGCGGGAAACACGCGCTGAACTCGCGTGTAGCATGTGCATATTCATGTAAACATTCTTGTTGTGATATGTAATACCTTATTGGCTTATCTATAACTTATCGTACTGTTTTTCATTGTTCGTGTATACGCATGCTCTTCCAGTCATTTCCCCAGTTCGGTCAAACTTGTTGTTGAAGAATATATTTTTAATGTTTATTTCCCCTGCTATTTTGTGGGAAGGGATTGTTGGATATGTCGGGTATGTATTTTAATCTCCAGAATAAATAAATTTTGTTGTTTGTTGTTGTTTTGTTGTAGCTAGGTGCTCACGCGTTGAATTTGGCGGTAGGCACACCCTCTAAGGCATGCACCTAGTTTCGTCCGGAATACAAGCGTTAAGTCCCTTCTAATCCCTACAGTTGCAAAAAGTCAATTTAATCCAATATTCTTGAAACAGGACTCTTCATAAACAAGGCATGTACGGTGGAGTAGCAACTATCAAGAGAACGCTGATTATAACTCCAGGAAGTCTGGTCAAGGTATTCTGGTATCTCCTTTTTTGTCCTCTATAAAATTTATAAACAACAGCCTTCATTTAACGCCAAATGTGCCCGGATATTTGCCTGCAGACATTATCTGTTCTGAGAAGAGAAAGATTTTCCAACAGCGAAGCTCGAGGAAAACTGTGAGCTTTGAAGAACAGAAATTGTCTTAGGACAATTTTACGAGTGCCTTTTCAAGCCAATTTCTCAAGCTAAACACTTTTCGTAGAGCGCATAACTAGTTTATCTTGTCATCTTTTTAAATATTTTTCTTTACAATTGTTTCGTTGTTACTCCGTTCAGAACTGGAGTTCGGAGTTCCGCAAGTGGCTCGGTAACGAGAGATTGAAGGTGTATACAGTGAACTCGGACAAGAGAGTGAAGGTAAAAAACACAGGCTTGGGGGGAGGGTGCGGATGTGCTCTTCTACCGTTTTGAGTTGATGCTGCGATGAAATTATAAGTTATGTGATAAAAAGTAGGGTCCTATGTAGCAGGAAAGTTTGGTTATTAAATGGAAGTTTGTAAATAGAACAAGAAAGATGGTAAATTTTAAACTCGATTGCCGATTGAAGAGACTGATGTTTATTCGTTTTGTCACGAGTGTGGAATAAAGATAAACGTCTGAAACCCTAAAGTAGACCTGTAAATTGTCCGGTAAATTGTAGATTTTTTGCTCCGATGCTCTGCCACTGAGCCACAGAAAACTTAGCGGTGTGCCGAGCTAGACAGTAGTTCAAATGTGGCACGCGTCCTGCATACTGCTGAGATCGACATCGTGAGCGTAGATTGTGTGGGAAAGATGGTAATTTCTGAGCTCGATTGCTAAACCACACTAGGGTTACGAGGACTCAGAATGACAAAGCGCCTCATTTATTTGCCTAGGAGATGAGAAAACTGGATGTTTTTACCTTTCTGTTTTAGGAATTCATGAACAGTCCTCTCTACCCAGTGATGATTATCAGTTATGAGATGTTTCTACGCTCAGTAGAAGAAGTTAGAAACATTAAGTTTGGATTAGTGATCTGTGATGAAGCACATCGGCTGAAAAACACTTCCATTAAAACTGCTACGGTAGGTTACGTTCGCTTTTTTTTCTTTTTGGGTTAACTCTGTTCAAGTACAATCCCGCCCTTTGCCTCACCACTGATAATATGTTAGAATATCCTCAAAACCTGTTCAACGCGAATAAAATTTAAAACTGAGCCGAAAACAGTTGAATTGAAATACATTTTGCTTTTCTAGCTTCTCGAATCGTTCATATAAGTTATTTGCGGCGTATGTCGCAAGAGGTGAAGTTTTGTAACCTCTTTATCGTGTTTTGTTTTGTTTTTTGTTTGTTTGTTTGTGAAAGTATGTGTGAACGCTGTTTTATGTGGTTTTCCGAGTAAGATTTTTGCTTAAAGGCCAATGTCTTTTACTCGCTTATTTTCATTCTTGTTCATCTGCAGATGATTTCTGGACTAAAGACAAAACGAAGGATTCTTCTCACAGGAACCCCAGTTCAGGTTACTCTAACCACTCGTTTTCTCTTGCATTTATTTCACTGCCTACTTCGAGTTCCTCCCTGGCATGTTACGACGTCATTCAAAGGCAATACAGTAGGCATTTCATTTCCTAAAAAACAAAATTTGTGTACGACTATGATGGTATCATAGCTCATATAAATGTACGTCCTCTTTTACTCACAGAATGATCTCAAAGAGTTTCATTCACTTGTCGACGTCTGCAATCCAGGGATTCTAGGTGAGTGCCGTCAGATTCGACTTGTAGGACTGCTGGATTTAATCCCTTTATTGCGAACATTTTAGATTAATTTTTGGCAATTTTATTCATATAAACCATATTTGGTAGTCACGTGATTATGTGGCGTAGTCGCGTCAAAGCGCGGGAAATCCTCTTGAAATCATCTGACGAGTCGACTGAGAAAAATGTGGTTTTGTGTTTACTTAACAATTTAAGTGAATTACTTTGGATAGTGACGCCTCATCCTTTTAAGGCACGCAGTCATCGTTTCGCCGTCTGTATGAAGAACCGATCGTCCGCGGCCAGCAACCTGACGCAAGCGGTGAAGACAAACTCTTGGGACAAACGAGGGCAGCTGAGGTAATAAATTCAAAATTTAGTGCTGTGGCATGTTACTGGAGCGCTTTTCGATTGAGTGTTGTAAAACCAAAATCAAAGTAGTCATAGCAGCCAATCAAAATGAAGGAAATATCAAGGAGCCAATAAAAACAAACAAACTGACTGAAGCGCGGGAAAATGCGAATGATCAAGTGACGATTGACTTTAGTTTTGAATCCTATTGGTGGAGAAGGTGGCGCGAGTTTTCACTCAGCGAGGTCAACCAGAATGAAAGCAATCACGGATTACTCTCCACATCAATTTGGAAATAGTTCCAACGCGTATGAAGCAAATGATCTTTTCCCCTGGGGTCTGATCCTACAAATTGGAGTCTTATGGCTGAGTCTTATTTAGTGTCTTCCTCCCTCTTTTTACTTCCTGTGTAAAGCTCAACAGACTAACCAGCTTGTTTTTCTTGAGACGGACAGCAGAAGTGAACAGCCGTTACCTTCCTCAAAAAGGTATGCGTGTTCTTAGCTCACCCTAAATATCCAGGTGTGTTAAAACTCGTTACTTGAGTCATGTGGTCCATCAAGCCGGAGCTTATCCCAGTCTCTGGTGACCAGGAGAATTGTCTTCCCCCCCCTACCCCCCTCATCTGGATAAGATGATAATCCATCGCTGGTTACTTCCCCTCCCCCCCTCCTCACTATTTCGTCAGGTTTTCTGACAGTTCACTGGGAAAGGCCTTGTGAGAATATTGTGGATTCGACACGAGCGTTTCTTGGCCTGCGGTATGAGCCCCGACGACAGGTCTGTAAGGAGTCTAGAACTATTAATGCCAGAACTCTGACAAACTTCTCTCCGACTCGTCTCAAATCTCCAAGCGGTCGGAAAAACGCCCGTCCTGCAGCGTTAAAAATGAGACTGGGCCGGGTCTCAAACTCCAATCTCTCGATTCCGAGTCCAGCGTTGGACCACTGCGTCTCCCACACTTTCTTTGGTTTCTCCAAAATCTTCTCTTTCTATTAACTTTTTTGACTCAATTTTTTGCAGTGGAATGCGTCGTGTTCTGCAGACCCAGTCTCCTACAACTTTCTCTGTACCGTCACCTTTTGATGTCACGAGTTGTGAGGTCATGTCTGACGTCACATTCCTCTGGAGGTTCGCGACACTTGGTTTGTATTGGTGCCTTGAAGAAACTCTGTAATGATCCAAGCCTTATTTATTCACATTGCCAAGAAGCCAAAGAGATGGAGGACGGCTTGGATGTTGATGAGGTTAGTATATTTCTTGTCAGGCGGTCATTTTAAACAAACCTAGATGGCTTGTTGTTGCATAGACCCGCTAGGCGTGTTAAATTTCAAGGCAATTTTTTTAAGAACTTCACCTGTTTTAATAATAGCCCTGAGGCAAGTTCCGTCTCTCTTTCGATTTGCTTTCACAACAAATGACCGAGTTTCATCTTGGCCCAGTCTATCTTGATAAAAGAGAGTTCTCTTTTGACTTTAAGTTTCTAAGGGATTGTTTTCCCAGTTCACTTTGTCCGAAAGTGAGCGCTCAAAACAGATGCTTTTCTCTGTATTTTAGTTTACTCTTGATGATGTTATGACGTTTTCAGGAGAATTTTTGTCCCAAAAACAGACACTCGCTATGAGCAAATTCGCCCCAACATTTATTTCTGTTTTGCGCAGTAATACGACTATGAAAAGCCTAGAGATGTCGCGGGAATAACTTTTCCTTACCATTCGTTCGCATAAATGAACATTCTGCTCGCAAACTTTAAGAATTTGATTGTTTACCTACTTAGGACGCATCAGTTTATGAGGGACTCGATCTTTCCTTTCCGGAGAATTTCAACCCAGGTTGTTTTACAACAAACTACTCTGGAAAACTGCAAGCTCTCGGTCACATGCTGCCCCAGATACACAGCACGGGAGAGAGAGCAGTGCTCGTCTCAAATTACACTCAGGTACGATTTAGTGTTCACCGGAAAATTAGACTTCTTGTTGGTAGAAATTTAACAGGGCGTGGTCGCATACGCCTGGAAGCTAAGACAAGTTAGTCTGGTTCAAGATAATAATCAACAATCAGCGACAAAGGAATTGAGACGCTTTTGTGCTTTCATCATTACTGGACAAACTGTAACCCTTACCCATGCGATTTAACCTCCTCCCCCACCCTTCTTGGTCCTCGTAAAGGGCGGTTTTTTTTTTTCGCCGAGACTTGCCTTAACCAAAATAATGACCAGCTCCCAGTTGGCTTGTTAGCTTAGTTGGTGGAGCACTGCACCGGTATCGCAGAGGAGTGAAAGAGTTAACATTGTCTCTCTATCTCTCCTTGTTTCACGAAAGACGCTTGATTTACTTCAGAGGTTTTGTGAAGACAGAGGTTACTCCTCTCTGCGACTGGATGGAAAGACGCCAACCAGCAAACGACAGTCGTTAGTAGATCGGTTCAATGACAAGCACTGCAAAATCTGTAAGTGCGTGTGTGTTTGTTTATTTGTCTATTTGTTTGGTTTTTTTTTATTGGAATAGACTACGAGGAGTCCCTGCTTTTCGGTGAAGTCCTTTGCGCGAGTCAAAAAAACATCAGTGAAAATCAGCCTCGCGCGGAGCTGTGGGAGTGAGTAGCACTAAACTAACCTTTTAATTTGTTTTTATCAACTGAGTTGTTAATGTAAATTGGCCACCGTAAAGAGTTTCAAAGCTGACGTTTCGAGGGTTAGCCCATCGTCAGAGCAAACGAATAATGAATATTGAATAAACCAACCTAACCCTACTATTGTGTCCCTCACTCCCAGAGTTCCATGAGGCGCGCAAACATCAATGATTTTTGTTTTTAATCGCACGACGGACTTCGCCGAAAAGAAGGGAGTGGTCGTGGTCTATTACCCCATTCACAATAACAGTTTAACATGCTTTAAAAGCTGTTTTCAATTAAACACGGTTTAAAATTGTTTTACTTCATAGAAACTACTTGAACCTATCTTTTTCTACTTCAAATTAAGCACATTGAAAATACAAGTTGTGACTACTTGAAACCTATGGAAATTCTGATTCAGTTTTTCAGTTCTCTGTTTCTGATTTTCATCTCGGTAAACCCGGTTTAACTAAACAATTTTTTGCTGATGTGAATGGGGCATATGATTTAATCAGTTAGTACAACAACTACTAAGTTTGCTGTTATTTACATTGCCCCTGAAATTTACTGGAACAAAAGCATGAAAAGCAAGAAAAGAAATCTAGTGGACTCAGCTTGATCATTGTTTTTTACTCTCCGTCGTCTAGTTGTGTTTCTGTTGAGTTCGAAAGCTGGTGGAGTGGGCTTGAATCTGATTGGTGCATCAAGGCTCATTTTGTTTGATATTGACTGGAATCCGGCCAATGACATACAGGTATGAATTTTCGTTGCCGAAGAAATTTCGAAGGAGAGAACTAGATATAAGAAACTTCTCTATAACAAGTTCCCTGGGCTGGTGTGAGGAGCTATTCTCCTCATCTTTATTTCTTTTCCCTCTACTTAGATTGAGTAACTTTCTTTCTGTGAAGTAAGATTGATTTTTTTTCACATGATAGCTATCTCGTTGAACTTACTGAGTTTTGGTTTGCCTTCACAGTCGATGGCAAGGGTCTGGAGAGACGGACAGAAAAAGACAGTTCATATTTATCGACTTTTGACAACGGTAATTAGCTTAGTGACCAGGTGTCGTCGTTGAAGACTCTTATCAGTCTGTTTTTCTCTCGATCTTATGTAGCTCTAGGCGAGAAGAGACTGGGACAAGACAAGAACGAGACAGGGTTGGGTCAGGATTAGGTTAACCAGCCTCCTCTCGTCCTTGTCTCGTCAGATGTAGACTGTTTTGAAATATTTTTAGTCTTAAATTGTATGCCAAAACTGATTGTAGAATGAATTTTTACTCCTAGTACTTTTAAATTTTATCATCATAGGATTTATATATGCTATTATACATTACAATAGATTATATTATTGTAAATAATTCCGTATTTCAGCTTACGGGCTGCGATGTTATTTTAAACCGTCCTTTCTATTGATCCATTTCAAAACGAAGCCACGTGTGAAGCCACTGATATGAAAGTATTGCATTTTGGGCTCATATTGAAAGTGAGGCCGTTTAGAACTCGGTAAGAGCCTACGAGGAGTTTGTTTTCTCTCCCCGCACGTAGGACCTCTAAGAGAGAAACCGACGTGAACTCGAAACTTAATACTCAGTGCTGTGGCTTTTTACTCCCTCGGAGAACTGTTCATTTGAAGTTTCGATAAATCCAGTCGAAACTCAGTTCGTTGTTAAAGTGACAAGTAATTTTAACACGGTGTATCTAACTATGGTTTGTTGAATGACTCAGGGTACCATTGAAGAGAAGATTTACCAGCGACAAACCGCCAAGCAGGGTCTTAGCGGAACTGTAGCTGATGCCAAGGACTCTGTCAAAGTTGAATTCTCGCGAGAGGAACTCAAGGTGAGTATAAAAGGCGATTTTGACACAGTTTTATGTGGCCTCTAGTTTGTCAAGTGCTGTTTGCTGTTTTAGTTGTGGCAGACTGCAGTATTATAAAGAAAACTCTGTTGCAATGAGTTGTCTTCACTCGGGTTATTAAACTGTAGGAAAGACTTCAACATGACTTAACCTCATTTCAGGGAAAGCTTTCTTCTAAACTGCACTCGCCTTTGACTCACTCGTGCACGTACGAAACTCGCGAAAAATCACTCTTGGCTATGAAACACGAAATGCACTTGCCATCTTGCGATTTCCTAAACTATGGTTAGGTGCTCATGATAAAACTTTCCTCTCTATGAGTGGATGATCAAAGTGCGTTAGGGTTTTTGCCGTAAAGAATGAACTGAAGAGGTAGCCTTATTCAATGATACAACTTATTTGTTATGGCATAAATTTGTTTTCTTCTGACAATCTTCTTTCCTCACTCCTCAGGATTTGTTTACACTCCACGAGAACACGTTATGTTTAACGCATGATCTTCTTCAGTGTCCCTGCTTGACAACCGAGGTAACACTGAATTTTTTTTTTAAGACTGATGTGCAATCTCTCTTACACAAGAAGATTGTCGGGTGAATGATCGCGATTTGAGACAGTATCACTGCTCTGTCATTGACTGTCTCCATCTCTCGTGTATTTTGTTGGCTTTTTCTAGGATGAAAGTGGCGAGGAATGTCAACCACAGTCAACAGCCAATCAACAGTCAACAAGACCATGTCAATTGGGAATTGACAACACCTTTAATCAAGTATGATATTCTCCGTAGAAGTAAAGGACACTCAATTATATCACGAACGCAACAGGAATTTCGAGACGTAAGCGTGTGAAGTCAGAGAGAAAACTCTCTTTCAAGAAAAGCTAGAAAGTAGCTTTTTACACAGTAGTCCATTTTACAGTTGTGTCCTTGGTTGCCAAGCCTTTGAACGGGAGTGAGGCTAGAGATGACCTTGTGATGATACAAACCTTGCTGCCTCTCAAATGTAAACCACTTTGCTATCATGCTAAGTAGATACAGGTCTCTATCACAACAAGGTCACCTTCAGCCTCACTCTGAATCAAAGGCTTGGCAACTAAGTACACAACGGTAAAATGGCCTATTAGAACGTTGTAGGACATTCTCGTGCTGATAACGTCTATCACAAAGCACATTCAGAACTCATAAATATCTCTTTTTCAGAAACATCTCTCGATTGCAGAGCTAATGGATTGGCAGCACTATCCATGTCCGAGTGTCTCGTGTTCAAACTTTGAGGTAAGACAGAGATTTACCCCTGCCCAGTTTTTCTATTAGATTCAATAGGTGCAGTCCATACAGACCATATAATTTATCCATTACAGAGATGCACATCTAAGAACGATTCACTTTTACTCATTCCTGAAAAGGTCGTTTTTTCCAGGGTTGCGTTCATTCCTGTCTTACAAAAGCTGTTCATGTTAGCGTTTCTGGGTACCCGTGTAAAACTTCACCATCGGGAAGATTACCTGATTAAGGTTACTAACCGCCTCCTGGTTAGCTCAATTGGTTAGAGCGCCGGATTGTGTTGTGCGGGAGGTCGAGGGTTCGAGCCCCGGCCGGACTGATACTCATGGTCTTAAAATAAGTGAGGAGAATTTGCTACCTTTCTATAACCAAAAAATGGATAGATATTCTAGTCTTTTCGGATAAGGACGAATAAACCGTAGGCCCCGTCTCCTGCGGGGTTAGGGGTAGGAGACGTTAATTTCCCACGCAGAGATTGCTGTGTAGTGGATGTCCTCCCCTGGGATGGGATGGGTGGGAACTGGCCCTGAAAAGCCCCCATGGGGAGTGGTCAACTAACTTATGTATGTATTGCTTCATGGAAAATGCTGCCACGTTCTTTAAGTTCATCCTCTGTATCACAGGGAATTGTGCGATATGCCGAATATTTCTGGGCGTTGTATGAGCTCTGTACGGTTTTGAACGTGTCAGTCATATTCCAGAGATTGGTTTGGTTTTAACTCTAACGCAGTGAAATGTTTTGAAGTATTTTGGATATATCAACAGAGTTGAAATGGTAAATTGGCCGCCGTAACGATTACAAAAGCTGACGTTTCGAGCGTTAGCCCTTCGTCGGAGCGAAGGGCTAACGCTCGAAACGTCAGCTTTTGTAATCGTTACGGTGGCCAATTTACCATTTCAACTTTGTTGATATATCCAAATTATTTCGTTACCCCCACCGACGCAGCCCCAAACAGTTTCTTTAGAAACTATCAGCCTTTATTCATTTGTAT